AAGAATAGAAATATAATAATTTACTTTCTTATATTAATTAATTTATGGAACTAAAATTGTAGAAAAATGAGATGAGCTGTGGAGCCAATAGGTTGTAATTAATATTACAAAATTGAATATTTAATGAAAATAACTCCTAACAATTTATGCAGGAATTCTTTGAGATTATTTTCTAACATCTTAGTAGGAAAATATACATGATTATTTTAATAACTCTTTTAGAATATGATTTCTAAAAATTAATTGCATAAAAATCTATTTTTCATAGTCTTACAAAATGACACTGTTCTTAATAAATGATAAACTAAAATGAAATATTTCTAAAAGCAATACTCTTAAAATGTATAAATCAATATGAATTCATTTTCCTTTATTTTTATGCTTTTTCATACGCAAAATATATCCAATACCATTATTATGATTTTAATGTCAAATAACTTGTTAGTTTAGAACAGTTTCTTGCACTAAGGTTCAAACTTAGTTGCCATTAGTGTATTACTTAAAAACTTATATTCGGGATGCTCCATTAAGTCATGCTATTTAACATCTTTGTGATCATGAAATTTTAAGATAGTTCACAGTCTTACCATCGCCTTCTGACAACAAAAAGCCATAAGTCGACGTATTTTGGCCTATCATAATTTTTTTTACCAATATAATAAATATTAATTTAATTTTCTCTTTTATCTGATTATTCTTTCTAATTTTGCATATTTAATTTTATGTGGCTTAATGATATTATGATTTTTTGATTTAAAAATAAACTACTTTACAAGTCCATATTCTAAACAAATAAGTCAAATGTGCATTTATTTGCTTCAAAAGGCTCTTAAGATCAGATAGTTCATCCTTTTCTTAAGTGAAAATTTTAATTCTAAAATTCCTTTTGCATCTAATGTTTTTGTTAATTTAGACTTTTTCCTATAAGTACCAAAATTAAATCCTTCTCTATTGCTATTTTTATAAGCTAGTAAGGTCTTTACAGATTCTAGATCTGACCTTAGTATAATTTTTGGAGACCAATCTTAAACTCTCCTTTGAATTTCATCTCTTTCATCTATTGTTTCAAATATTATGAATATTAGGAATTTTGACCTTTCTTTATGTATTTGATTCGTTTTTCTGTATTTATATTTTCATAGTCACTTAATTCTTTACGTAATTCAGACGGCTTGTTGTTTATCAAAATACATTCTGTGACTTCGACTCATGATAACTAAAACTCAAGCATAGTACCTAGCATAAATATGCTCGAAAAGCGGTCACAATTATATATAACCACTCTTTGTCAGAATTCTATTTCTAAATATGACTAATTGTTTTTTTCTAGATTTTCAATTAATTCAAGATACAAATTCAAGGTCAAAATAAATAGTTGTAGGTACTATTAAAGGATGTAAATTAATTTCAATGGTTAAGCGAGACCTGAAATTGATTTCTTGCTTTACTATGTAGAATTTTTATGATAAGAAAATTAAATTTTATGGATCATAACTTCCTCATCAAAAATACTTATAACAAAATTTCAATAAGTTATTTTTGCATAAATTTCATATTCAAATCGAGATAAGAAGAAGTCAAATAAAGACATCCAACATATGAAATTTTGAAGAGACAAACATTCAAAACGAATCCAAATATTTAAATGCTACCAAAAAATATAAATTTATCTCTGTTTCTCATCTTGAAAAATAACTAACTATAAATTTAAGTGAGAGTTTAATATATGTAGTAGATTTACGTAATTAAGCTCTATAATATTCAATTTCAATTGCTTTACAATTTGTCTTTATAGATTTTTTCTTCGGTTCGATCTCTAGTAAAATTAAGAAGCATCTTGTTCTTGAGTTATTAATTTACTCATATTATTGAGCTGTAGCATTCATCCACTTTGGAGATAAGCCAGCAATCAATAATAGCTTATGGAATCAGTAGATTAAATTTAATGTATAAGAATGATTTAAACTAAAGACTCGTGCTCTCTTTTCATTGTGCATATTTTGATTAATCTGAATTTTTACATATGTGAATTGAGACTCAAGGA